TTTAGGGTTGCTATGAGTTGCAAGAGACTCAACGGCACATAACAACAACAACATGTTCTCATGAATAGAACTAATCTTAAGAAGGTATTAACACTCAGAAGATCTAAAGTCAGGGTACCTCTAAGGCCTGTCACTCTCCTTTCCCAAACCCAACTATGCCCACTTCCCACCCTTCTGCTTAATCACAACAAATCTAAAATAATTTTCATTTCCAGGTCTGGTTAGCAATATGAAACAGAACTCCAAAGGATGTTAGAGCCAAACAATGTCAGGCCTGTCCCGTGCACAGAAAGCCTCAGTGCTACTCCTCTGAGGACTAGTGGGCATGCACCTGCTTAAACAGGTGTAGAAAAAACAATTTACACTGTTTTAAGTTATAAGTACCAAAACTCATTTTTAACCTAACCCAAGGACCCTGCAGTATCTGATCTATATACAGTGTTCATGACTTGGACGTTAATAAAGATTGAGGTCCTTCAGGACTAAGGCTTAGCAAATCTCAAGAAAAGAAGGTGTTTGATTTCAGCACCGTCTCAATGTGTCCTCTTTGCCTTCCCTTTACCATTGTTTCCTCTCCTCCACCAACTCTGTGCATCCAGGAATGAAAAAGTCTCAGGTTGTTAGATATTAGTCTCGCTCACACCATTCAACCCTCTACCATCGAATTATATAATAATTCCCTGAACACACAAACCTCCTCAGAATTTACTGTTGATTAATTGATTAAACATAAAAGATGGATTTTGAGAATTGCAGACACTGTTATAGGCAAGAGAAATATGAATATCCAGGGAAAACTCAACACAGCAACCTTACTTTATGCACTCATGAGACAAACTTCTTAATCAAGAGAGGATTCAATGGTGCTTTCCCACTAGTAAATTGGACTTGGTCCCTCTGAACAATGTATCACACAGCTCTATATGCATACTTTTCCTGGGGCTGATGGATCTAACACCGATAAACTGAAAATTCATTGTCATTAAGTTGGAACCAACTTATTATTGACCCTCTACTGGGTTTTTTGAGGTTGTCAATTTCACAGGAGGATACTGCCCATCATTTTCCCCTTGGAGGTCCTGGTGGATCTGAACGAGCAGTGAAGCACCTCTTGAGGTTAGCAGTACAATTCTCTACCCACTAGACCACCAGGCTTCCTTCTAACACTGATCACTCAACCCACGCACTCATTGCTGTCGATTCGGAACTGACTCAGCTGAGCCACCAGCAGGTTTTCAAAGGCTATACATCTGACGGCACATAACAACAACATACATCTGACAGTAGGCTTCACAAGCTCCTGCAAGACGCAAACTGGCTACTTTTAGGTAACGGTATCACTCCCTACAGACCATGTTATAGTCATCCCTAAACCCTAGACTTCAACTATGTTTAAATATGCTGATTCTAGAGTTTTCAGGAGAGAATAAAAGATCCCATAATATTAAGTCCAGTAAGAAAGACAAAAACAGCTTCTTAGAGCTACCAGAGGCCTCACTCCTATGGAGTTGCTCAGAGTATATCCCTGATTCCTGGAGTTTTCATCTCTGATTCCTAGAGTATTCTTTGAACATCAAATGATCTAAGGAAATCTAGGAAGAAACATCCATCATTAATATGAGTGAAGGAGCAGGGGGGAAAATGCTTGGATAGGATGCATTTGAGAGAATGGAAGATAATTATCTATCTCACATAAGGACCAGAAAACTTTGACATAGTCTTCACCCTTTCCTTCAATGTTTACACAGTTTTCACTCTTTCTTTTTGCTTTTGCCATCTGAATTTTACTATTTTATGCTTTGAGGTAATAAGCATTTGTGGAAAAGAATGAAAATTCAATAGAAGTGATTCCTTTTCAAAAGTAAAAAAATCACACCAGATGCTCCGCTGCAGGAGGAGCAAATCTCCTCTTGTACCAGTCGGATCCGATTCAATGGTACACAACAACAAGTAAAGAGTCAGATATTGTTGTTGGTATGTGCCGTCGAGTTGTCTGGGACTCACAGCAATGCTACGTACAACAACCCTAAATCCTTCTCTAGCCCTTGCCAATCTTATCGTCACCAACACACCTATCTCCATTACCCCAGTGACGGAATCAATCCATCTCATCATGGGTCTTCCTCTCCTGTGCGGTCCCTCCACCCTCCCAAGAATGACATCCCTCTCCAAGGACTGATCTTGCCTTGCAGCATGTTCAAAGTATGTCAGCTGGAGCTTCAGAATTCTTACCTTCAAGGAGCAGCCTAGCTTCACCCTCTCCAGAATGAACTTGTTTGTTCTTCTAGCAGTCCATGGTATATTCAATACTCCTCTCCAGCACCACAGCTCAAAGGCATCAACTCTCCTCTGTCATCCCTAGTCATTGTCCAGCTAGCTCTCTGATGCATAGCGAGTAATTGCAAAGACCATGGCCTGGATCAGGCACACCTTAGTCTCTAGACTGACATCATTGCTCTTCAGTACTTTGGAGAGGTCTCTGACAACAGACTTTCCAAATGTAATTCATCTTTTAATTTCCTGGCTGCTGGTACCAAGAGCGTTGACTATAGAGCCAAGAAAACTGAAGTTGTCAACAATCTCAATCTCTTCATCATCCATTATGATGCTGCCAATTGGGCCAGTAGTGAGAATCTTTGTTTTATTGATGTTGAGCTTCAATTTATATTGAAGGCTGCAGTTCTTGACCCTTCAGGTCCTCCTCAATTTCAGCAAGCAAGGTTGTGTCAGCTGCATAACGCAGATGTTGAGGAGTCTACTTCCAATCTTGATGTCACACTTCTCCTCATAGAGCCCAGCCTCCTGGATAATCTGTTTTGCATATAGATTGAAAAGATATGGAGATAGGACACATCCTTGACATACACCTTTCTCAATTTTGAACCATGCAGTGTTTCCTTGCTCTGTTCTGACAACTGCCTCTTGGTCCAAGTATAGGTTTTGCATAAGTACAATCAAGTGTTCTGGGATTCCCATTCTTCTCAGAATCAGCCATAGTTTTTTGTGATCCACACAGTTAAATGCATTTGCATAGTCAATGAAACATAGATAGATATTCTTCTGGTACTGTCTGCTTTCAGCTAAGATCCATCTGACATTAGCTACAATATCCCTAGTGCCACGACCTCTTCTACATCCAGGCTGCAGTTCAGGCAGTTCTCTCTTGATGTGTTGTTCCAATTGTTTTTGGATAATCTTCAGCAGAATAGTGCTTGCATGTGACATCAATGATACTGTTTAATAATTTCCACACACACTCTGTTGAATCACTTCTTTGGAATGGGAACAAATATAGATCTCTTCCAGTCAGTTGGCTAAGTGGTGTTCTCCAGATTTCTTGGCACAACTTGGTGAGCACATCCAGGGCAGAGTCTGTTTGTTGAAATATGTCAATTGGTATGCCATCAATTCCTGGGGCCTTGTTTTTTGCCAGTTCCTTCAGAATAGCTTGAACTTCTTCCTTCATCACTCAGGCTCTTGTTCATATGTTGTTTCATGAAATTCTTCTGTGTCCACTAATTCCTTTTGTTACAATGACTTTGTATACTCTTTCCATCTTCTTTTAATACTTCCTGGATCATTTAATACTCTGCCCACAGCATCTTTAAGCATTGCAACTTGAGGTTTTAATTTGTTCTTCAGTTCCTCGAGCTTAAGAAATGCTGAGCAAGTTCAGCCCTTTTGATTTTCTGACTCCAACTCCTTGCACATTTCAGATAAAGTAATGAATACTAACCGGTAGTAGAAACTAAAATACAAGTTCTATTTCTACTCACACTGCCTCATAAATAAAGTAATACAATTAAAAATAATTAAGTATTTCAAAAATACATGGTTTTGTAAACACTCATTTTCACTTAATATAAGTCTCAACTTCATACTAAGTGATGGTGAATTGATTCCATCTCCTTAATGGTCATGTAATACTGATCCCCATTGTCCTTCTTGTTTTCATCCAGGGAAATTCAGGAGGCCCTTTGATATGTGGTGGTGTTTTGAGAGGCATTACTTCCTTTGGACGTCCAGGAAAATGTGGGAGCGTTAAAGTGCCTGGTATCTATATTCGTCTCTCAAAAAAATACCTCACATGGATAGCTAGTACTGTCAAGAAGACAATTTAGATAACTATATAATTTTGTCATTCCTCACTTCCTCCATAAATAAAATCCATTTTTAATTATTAAATAAAATTTTTAATAAAAAAATTTCAATTATCTCCTATAACTTCAGTGAATAACCACTGGCAGTGTGATGCAGAATAATATTAAAATAAATTCATAAAAATAAAACCAAAGAAAATATTAAAGAATCAATGCCTCCAGTGTCATTCATGTGTCAACCAACATCCTTTTTGCCCTCTCAGTAGAGCCTGGAAGATGTTACTCGAAAATCAAGCCTGTTGAACAACATGTACAGACAATGGGTGTGAGCATTGTGATGATGGCACCAGACAGGACAAGGTGCAGATCTGCTGTTCATAGGTTGCTGTGAGTGGTAGTGGACTTGTTCTTTTGTTGAGTGCCTTCAAGTTAGAACCAACTCATAGCTGGCCCTCCAGGGGTTTTCAGAAACTCTAAATCACACAGAAGAAGATCGCCAATATTTCTCCCATGGAGTAACCGGAGTATATGGATTTGAACGGTGTGCCTTTCAGTCGGTAGTGCAACACCTTACCACTAAACCACCAGAGCTCCCAATTATGCCACCAGCATTTAACTAGGTGGCACTCAACGGAAACAACAATGCTCTTACAACTGGAAACACATTAGCCCTTTTATAAAATGTATTTTATAAGTGAAGAATACAAAAATAGTTGAGAGACACATACAAGAAAGAAATTCTCAAAATGAAAACAATCCAGGTTTCTACCACAGGCTGCATGGTCATAATGGGTATATAGAGCTACCTTATCCCACCAGTCATTGGTATTTACTTTTCTCTCAGCAAATACCTCAGCTAGTTGTGATTCTTTGATGGAGTATAAGGACCATTAGGGGTCATGTCAGAATTCGCTTGCTGTGCTTCCTTGTTGATTTTAATCACAGGACATGATAGTACAAGAGACAACACAAGAAAATTCCCATATTGGAGACATACTTTCTTTGCTTCCATAATGTAACATCAGCCTAACTTCCCCTTGATCAATAACATCAGACAATGTAGTAACTCCTTTATCTGGTAAACCAGACGCAATGAGCAGCCCAAATTGGCTGGGTGCAATCAATCTTGTGTCTCCAAGTAAGAGTATTGCTCCCTTTGGAACTAAGACTTCCAGGACCTCAGGGAATAGGGTTACAAGTTAAGAAGCAAAAATAGTACAAGTGGTTCACTTGGGGTACTCTTAGCACCACTCCCATTTCCACGACTTGATTCCTGGACAGGTAAATCCTACCTATTAGAGAAATAGCTCCATATATTAGCATATACAGTCACCTACAGAATATCGCTCTATCCCACAAAGTACTGTCACCTACCTGGAACTCTGTGGCTTTAGGAGACTATCCTACCATTCGATCAAACCATCTACTTCAGGATGTTGAAGAAAATGATACGACCAGTGAGTTTCATAAACATAGATCCATTGTCATACTTCATTTGCTGTGACATGAGTACTTTGTGCCAAAGTGATGTTGTTGGGAATCTCATGAGAGTTGATAAGGCAAGTTCATGGATGGAGTCTCAACAGAAGGATTGTGTGCAGAAAAATGTAAACCAGTATCTAGAGAAAGTGTCTACACCAGTAATAATAAAATGTTGTCCCATCAAGGCTGGAAAGTGTCCAGTGTCATCAACCCAGCACCAAGAGATGGTCCCATACAGGGGATTCACTCAGCAGTGGCTATAGACAGTCATTTTAGGGGAGTAGAAATCCATGTTGCTGAGCAATGAAGGAAGAGAAGCAAATAACCTCAAGAAGACTGGGAAAATATATACTCACATCAAGAAAGGTTCTTCACCTTTGCTGCTATTCAAAACAAGCCCATGCAGAAGACAAGGCGGGGTTCAGTGACTAGCAGCATTTTAACACAGAGGCAGTCACATCAGGAGGTATATAAAATATATGGGTGCATGTGGCTAAGAAGAACCAGTCTTTGGAGAAAGACATCATGCTTGGAAGGGTGGAAGGACAGCACGAGAAAGGAAGACCCAGGATGAGACAGATTGACATAGTGACTGGGGTGATGAGAATAAGTGTGTCAGAGTCAGTGAGACTGGCTCAGGATGGGGCAGGGTTCAGAGCTATTGCACATAGTGTTGCTATGAATTGCAGGCAACTCAAGGGCACATAACTACAACAACAATCTGGACTCAAACTCAAGTGCAGCACTTTGCCTCTGTGCCCTGTGGGGAGACAGACACAGTTGATATTCATCATGTCAGGGCTGCTGCTGAGGGCTGGGAGGTAACATGAGGGGTGCTCCTACCTCTGTCCAGGATGAAAGCCTTCTCAACATCTGCCACACTCAGACTGACGCTGCTACCACACTCTTGTTAAGGTAAACAGGCCAGACTCTGGGCAGCGTTCTAAGTTTGTGCTCCTTTCTTCAGTGCAAGAAGAAACTGTTGTTTCTTTTCTTCAGTGCAAGAAGTCTGTTGTGGCTGTCCTAACAAATTGCCATAACTGAGTAGCTTGACATTTAGTCTCTAACAGTTGTGGCGGCCAGAGTGCCACGTCAAGGCGTCCACAGGGCAGCACTCTCTCTGAAGACTCTGGAAGAAAGTCCATTCCTTGCTCGAGGCAACTTCTGGCAGCTGGACGCACTTTCCCTCCTCTTATAACTTCACTCCAATCTCTGCCTCTGTGGTCACATCATCTCTTACTCCATGTCGTATAAGTACACTGCCCATTGGATTTACGGTTCACCTGATAATTCTGGATGACCTCATCTTAAAACCCACACTTAATTCCATCTGCAAATATTCTTTTGCCCAAGTAGGTAATATTCATGGAGATTAGAACTGAATTTTGGGGAGGGTGCAACACACATATTTTGGGCCTTTTACATCCCATATATACCATTATTAGTCCTCTACCACCAGCACCTGTGGGAGAAAGATGGGAAATCTCCTCCTATGAGGTTAACTGTCTCTGAAAACCCACTGGAGGATCAGCTGTGGGTCAGTTCCGACTTGACGGTACACAACATCAACCACCAGTACCAATGATTTGTCATTATTATGTCTCTGTTGTTATTGTGTACCCTTGAGTGAGAACAGACACAGAGTTGACACACTGGTGAGTTTTCAGAGACAGTTAATTGACTGGGAGAAGATAGCCCACCCTTCTCCCTCAGAGGACCTGGTGAATTCAAACCGCTTGTCTTTAGGGTTGCAGGATTGTCTTCACTTAATTTTCTTCTTATCCTTCCTTTCCCAAAGTTTAACAATTTTTTGCCATTCATGAAACCAGCTTCTAAGAAGTTAATAAAATAAATTGATGAAAGATCCATGCAAGTCTAATAGCAAAAAGCTGTGCTGCAATCCCAAATGTGTATGGTTCAAATCCACCAGCTGCTCCACAGAAGAAGGATGGGCAGTCTCCTCCTGTGTGATTAATT